TGCCAGTTGTGAGTTGCAGGGTGATATGGCTGCTGGCTGGCTTTTGCTTCACTATGGATTTGCCTCGGACTCCCTTGGACTGTTCGCCTCGGCCACACCTCCCCCGAACACCAGCGCACCGTGGACACGCCCCCTGTTTTCCATCCAGCCCCCAGCATGCCTCTTTCCCCGTGTTGTCTGCATAGGGCCCTGAAAGAACTGTATTTTCTCAGTGGGCCGACCACCCAGCCGCACGGACCAGGGAGATCTGGGAGCGGGGCTGGCCGAACGAGGGCCGGGCACTCACCGAGGCCAGCTTGTCGAAGCGGGCGAACAGCTCGTTCAGCGTCATGACCAGCTCCTGCGCCGTGCACTGGGAGGCCAGGCTGGTGAAGCCCTCGATGTCCGCAAACAGGATGCTGGCCGGAAGACAGATACCAGGGATATTTCATCAAACCATCGAGCACCGCCAGACGCCTCGCAGGCGCGCTGGTCCCGGACAGGAAGAAAAGCCTGCATGAAGTGGGCGATTCAGGGGCCCGGGGCCAGTGTCGCCTGGAACGTGAGCTCTAAACACAAGCCGAGGCAGGTCAGCGAGTGAATTGCCTAGTTCCCTACCAGACAGACGAAGGGGGTTTGAACGAAGTTGAATCAGCTGGAAAAAAAGCTTCAAGCAGTTAGAGGAGTCAGACCATCAGAAATGAGCCCCCAGGGACAGAAGCAACAGGCACAAGACAGGTCCTGCCAGGCTGTCGCTCATCAGGCAGGGCCAGACTCCGGAGGAAGGCAGGGAAACCAGTGCGCTGTGCCGGAGAGCTGTGTGTCCCTGGGTCGTGCCGTGCTCTCCGGAGGGCGGGGACGGGCACACAGAGCCCCTCGGAAGTGGTGCTGTAATTGAAACTCGGCTGCACCCTTGAGGGGCCATCTTCAGCTCAGGTTAATTATCTATTCCTTCTCACACGTTAATTAGCCCATCTGCACTCTCAGCCTTCTCCCAGGGGCCCCTGCTGCCTGAGCCTGGTCCACACCCAGACTAGAGAGAGGGAGAGAGCAGAGAGGGATAGAGCAGAGAGAGAGGGATAGAGGAGAGAGGAGAGAAAAGGATAGAGGAGAGAGAGAGGGATAGAGGAGAGAGAGAGAGAGAGGGATAGAGGAGAGAGGAGAGAGGGATAGAGCAGAGAGAGGGACAGAGCAGAGAGAGAGGGATAGAGGAGAGAGGAGAAAAAAGGATAGAGGAGAGAGAGAGGGATAGAGGAGAGAGAGAGAGGGATAGAGGAGAGAGAGAGAGAGAGAGGGATAGAGAAGAGAGAGAGACAGAGAAGAGAGACAGGAGAAAGAGAAGGATAGAGAGACGGACTGAGGAGAAACAGGAGAAAGAGGGATGCAGAGAGAAAGAGAGAGGAGAGAGAGGGATAGATACAGCAGAGAGGGATAGAGGAAAGAGACAGAGGAGAAAGAGAAGGATAGAGGTGAGAGTGATAGAGGAAAGAGAGGGGTTAAGGAGAGAAAGAAGAGAGAAAGATAGAAGAAGAGAAAAGGATGGATAGTAGACGGAGAAAGAGAGAGACAGAAGGATAAATGAAAGAAAAGAGAGGGAGGAGAGGAAAAGAGATGCAAAGATTATCCCCTATAGTAAGCAGGAAAGAGCTGCTGTGCGCTCTGACAGACACACCACCTCTGGCCACTGTCAGACAGCAGACAGCAGGGGGCGCCCACACGCTGGACATCCAGGCCCTGGGCTGGGAAACACTCGGGATAACGATCGACTGACTGCTCTGAAATAGGGGGATGAATATTTCTATATGGGAACAAAAAAAAAACGCTGATTCTTAAATTAAAAACATTATTACCCATAAGAAGGGCCCTGCTGTGTGGGGTCTAGATTACGCAGTGAGAAACGCTGCTGCGAGTCGCCTCGATGGCCACGCGAGACGGGCGACTCGGCTTCCTGTGGGCCTGGGGGCCGTGTCTCGCTGCCGCTCTCAGGCACGTCAGCAGACAGCCGCCCTCAAGGCCCAGCTTTCGTGTCCCTGTCATTCCGCAGGCGGAGGGGAACAGGGGAGCCCCTCCACAGGCACGCCTGTTCCAGGAGGGCCGAGCGGGGCCGTTACCATGGCAATGCACACAGGCCGCTAGCAGGCCTCTGTCCAACACCGGTGTGTTTGGGCCTGCTCCCTTTGGTGCTTGGTGTTGTGCCTCTCGCATGTTGCCAAAAGAGGCAAAGGAACCCAACCCCTGGCTCTACACGGTTGTCCGGGGAGACTCCAGTTTACCTGACGTTGTCGTGCTTCTGGATGTAAATTTTGTGAAACATCATGTCTTCCTTCTTGGCATTGATGTCAGCCTTCATCTCCATGGCAACGTGCCTTGGCAACACGGAGAGCAGCAGGCGTTCCTGGGAGAGAGGGATGCGAGCTGCTGTCAGTAACACTCTCTCTCCCGCATCAAAAGGGGACATTCCCCACTGGAACGGGATACAGACAGGCCCCAGCTCCCTCTCCGACTCTGCGGGGCATGTGTGCACTCTTTCCACTCCACATATACATAGAAATATACTGTCTGACAGAAATCTGTACGTGCTTATACATTTACAGGTAGCAGTCTGGTGCGCTGGTGAAGCTCAAGTGTAGCCCAGATGTAGCCCTGATGTAGCCCAGGAATAGCCCAGTTATAGCCCTGATGTAGCCCAGGAATAGCCCAGTTAAGCCCTGATGTAGCCCAGTTACAGCCCCAATGTAGCCCAGTTATAGCCCTGATGTAGCCCAGGAATAGCCCAGTTATAGCCCTGATGTAACGCAGGAACAGCCCAGTTAAGCCCCAGTGTAGCCCAGTTAAGCCCCGAGGAGCCCCGGGGCAGTTACCTGCTGCTGGTTCTCCCTCTGCAGGTGCAGCCGGGCCTGGATGTAGCCCCGCGTCTCCTGGAAGGCCTGGCGCTGCGACACCTCGGCAGGGTAGTGGGTACAGATCCCAATGATATTGGTGCACAGGAATATCAGGGCATTGGCACTGAGCTGAAGAGACAGAGAGACAGACTGAGCCTGAGGGGGAGGGAGAGGGAGAGGGAGAGGGACTGGAAGTGAGGGACAGAGACAGAACAGAGGACAGTGCAGCAGTGGACCAGGCAGCAGCAGTGAGACAGTGACAGCCCCTGGACAGCTCTGCCCCTCCCTTCCCCAGCGGGGCTGTGGCCCCACTGCTCGCTGGCACACGGTGGGCTCAGCTTCCTCTCGGGGCACAGACACTGAGCACAGCTGGCAGCCACTAGGGCGAGGGAGAGGGGCACCAGCCCGGGGCAGAACAGGGGCAGAACAGCACCCTGCCTGCCTCCGGGGCAGAACAGCACCCTGCTGGCCCTCGGGGCAGAACAGCACCCTGCTGGCCCTCACGGCTACAGCCACTGAGCAGGTCCGCTAACATGCTGTACCAAGGAAGAGGAGGGAACCTGGTCTCTTGCTGGAGATGGAGCTCACCGACTCCACACCTACACCCCCCAACAGAACCAGGTCTCAGACTTGTGGTCCAGGAGCACTGACCCCTCCAGGGAATGCGCATGGCAGTGATGGGTTTTGAAGGGCTGTTGCAGAGCCGTGTGTTGTTAAAACTGGTTGCAAAAAGGGGGTGACATGATGACGCAGGGGTAGGCATTGCTGCTTCACAGCGCTGGGGCCCCGGGTTCGATTCCCGGGGTGCTGTCTGTTTGGAGTTTGTATGCGCTCCCTCCGTTTGTGTGGGTTTCCAAAAACAAACTGGTGGGCTAACTGGCGTATGAGAAAACTGGCCCTTGTGGGTGTGTCTGTGTGCACTGTGATAAGACTGGTGTCCCGACCAGGGTGTACCCTGCTTCGTTCCCGGGGCTTGCTGGGATAGGCTCCAGCTCCCCTGTGACCCTGTACTGGATTAAGCTGTTAGAAGCTGGCTGGATGGCTGCAAAGAGACAGCCATTTGAGCAGCGGGACACTGGAATAACAGCAGATACAGCAGCAATACAATGACAAGGCAATGAGCAGGCTCAGAGCAGCATGCTGCTGCGGTCGTCTACCCAGAAGCCTTCTGAACGAGCGATTCCTTTAATTAGATCATTCTCCTAATCGCTTGCAGCTAATGACATCTTAGTGGGTTTCACTTATGGAAAAACATGGAGCCGACTTGAAACCTGTGCCTTTATAAGAGGTAAAAATAATTAGGTCCAACTAAGCAGCTTATCTTTCAATTGGGGGGCCCGTTAAGCAGTATGCCAGCTGACACTCTTGTACTCCAGGTGTGCTGCTCTTTCAGCCCATTACTTCAAGATCTCACAACCCTTCCGATCAGACTACGCCATTAAAATATGTTTTCACTCTTGTTGTCCAGAGGACCGCGTCTTGCATCACGAGCTCTTTGGATCGTTTCGTGTAAATGACGTCCCGACAAGGTGAAGGGTCAGCCGAGCAGTCCAGGCCTGCAGTTTCCAGGGAAGCCAGAACTTCCGACTCGTCCCACTACAGAATTATTTATAGTGCAGTTTGGCTTGCTGGCTGCCAGCTTTCTGTTCTAGCCATTTGCAAATTGCATCCAGCTGTGCTGAGCACATTCTCGCTCCTGAAAGACAGAGAATATCTATCTTGGAAGGGACGTTCTGAAAAGAGCATGATAAAGGCAAAGGTTTTGTCTAATCGTTTCCTGATTCCGTTTCTCGATGGAAGGAAACCTAGTTTTTTAATCGGCTAATGCCACTGCCTTCATGGGCTGTGTGAGGCTCAGCCTGGCACCACCTGTGGACACGCCCAGCCGCCAGGGCCAATCCCAGCCCTGCGCCTGGCTGTGCCCTTGCCAACTGCGCCCAGACTTGTGCGCACAGAGTAAGGAAACGCTTCTTAACACAGGGATCTCTGAGCTCTGTTCTCGCAGGCCTCCTGACCATCACCCCACTTCTGGAGATGTGCCTAGGGGTGGACTATCCACATCCTGGAGGAAATGACATTACAGGTCTACAATAAGTGCCCTCAATCCATGGAGCCCTACCCACCAGATCTTCACCTGGACATACTGACCTCCAGGAACAAGACTGCACACCCTGCAGGACCAGGACTGGACACCCTGCAGACACACTGACCCCCCAGGACCAGGACTGGACACCCTGCAGACACACTGACCCCCCCAGGACCAGGACTGGACACCCTGCAGACACACTGACCCCCAGGACCAGGACTGGACACCCTGCAGACACACTGACCCCCAGGACCAGGACTAGACACCCT